CAGAACAAGCTTTTCTTCAGACAAAGGCGACTGGTAGAAAAAAGAGCCGTCCTTGATACAATCCCAGTCAGATATTCCTCCTATCCCCACTGATTGTGGGCAACAAACGCTGCCTGATTGCTGATGAGTGTTTTCATCTCCAGCATGACTTAACTCTACAGAAGCCTGACTTAAAACTTTTTGACTTTTCCAGAAGTTTCTGCAATAAATTGGTCTCTTTCAGTGAGACAGCCACCAGGTTCAGGTCAGCCATGCATGTTTTATGACTTTATGAATGTATTCTCTTTCAAAATTATATTCAGATTTATGCAACCAAACTAGAGATACTCTTTTTATTCAACGCACTCTTCTTTTATTCCGTAGTGTTTTGCCTACATTACCAACAATGCCACTCAACTGCTGACACTTTATCAGCCTCGTCAACTCTAAACCTAGCGCACAGAACAAGTTGGACAGTTGGGGAAAATTTAGGTACATAAGGTGATAGAAAAAGAAATAGAAAGCCTTAATTGTAATGATACAATTGTACAATTAAATTAGAAATGCTTCACCTTAAAGTGCACAAACAGCACAGCTAAAACAACTTGCATTTAGCACCTAAAGGGAGAGCCGTTGCATCAATGCATACCGTAATCTTTTGTGCTGCCATTGTGCGTGCAGCCATCTTGCTTGATAGATCTGATCTACAAAAAAGTGTGAAGGACAACAGTAAAAATAAAGTTATATTACTGTAACTTGGGTAGATATGGATTTGCCTCTTTGTAATTTGAAATAAGGCAGTATGTTGTAAATATTGATAACTTTTTACATAGAATGAGCTAGAATAGTTTTGAACATCAAATTACAGTTCTCATGGTGTTTTTTTTCTTTCCCCTTCCTATTTCTGTTTTTTCTGTTTTCTATCTGGCAGTGTGTGCACAGTGGAGGGCGTGGCTGGCTGAGCTGTGCCAGATTATTCTCTTTGCAGTTGGTACACAGTGTCACATAGCGTTACCATGCAGAATTGTTAAAGTGATTTTTGTTCATGTGTCGGTATCGTGGACTGACCTGTTTTTTTTTCCTTTTTGTGCAGCATGCCGGTGAGCCTCACCACCCTTCCTGTGGATTTCGTTTGGCCTTGCTACATGAGGGTGTTTTCCTGCGCCCGGCCAGCCCTCAACTGCAACCACCTGCCTTAAACCTTTTATGTACAACAAGCTACATTAAACTTCTTAAAGACTGACTTTGTTTCCGTTTTCTGCATCATGGGGTCCAAACTCAAAAACTCAAATGTAACAACAATACTTCTATTTATTAATATAGGTGTTGTTTTTTACAAATACATTTGAACTTACCACAGAGGAATAGGTGACATCCCAATTTTAGAACCAGGGCAGGAAAACACCACTCACTTTTCACTTGTCTTTAGCCTCGACTGACACTGACTCAAGTGACATAACTTAAATGTCACATATTATGCAAATTACACTTTATCTTACACCAATATGTGTCCTAGCCTGTCTACAAACCCGAAAAGTTCATCCCTCTGTCTTTTGCCTGCTCGACTTTTCAGAAAATGTGTGCTCAAAGAGGCCGCTTGGAGATTTTCCCCTTTTGACACGACAAAGGGAAGTAACCCCTCCCTATGAGTGACACTCCCCCAGGTGTTTGTTCTTCCCGCTCAGTCTGCCTTTCCACAGTAAACAATAAGGCATGGTCTGAGAAGGCCTGAGCCACATCCCCTTGATTGGGATAGGATTGGTAATTTTCTAAAACTAGTATGTTTTTTAAAGTAGCATTCTCCCCTCTATTTCCCTAAAAGGCCACGCCCTCACTTACATGCACAAGCGCATGTGGGCTCTGCATGCATGGGGTAGAGAATGAGCAGGGAGACAGGGAGGCATGATTGGTTCATCAGATTGGTACCTTGTTGCAGACATTGGTCAAAGTTTTTACAGGCTTACTGCTGCTACAGATGAGGGATTTTCTTTGTTCCTTTTTCAGAGCACGTGTGTTATTAATGTCTGTCAGGACCTAAAGACAATTTCAAGCAAAATCTTCAAAAGTGCATCTGGAGAAAATTACCAAATCTGTCTTTACAGACACAGAAACAGTGATAGAGTGGGTTACAGGTATGCTAATCTACGGGATCAGTGTATATTTTTTGTAAGAAACTTCACTGTCATGTTTCATGTGTGTGTTCACGTCATTTGGCTGTCTACTCGCCGTTATATTGTATAGTTTCTGCTTATAAAATGTCTACACTCATGCACTTTAACTTATGTCAATACTGTCCATTTACAACTCTGTTTTTGCACATCTACATGTAATCTTCCATATTTAATTTACTACCATTTATGACTCGGTTCTTGCATATTTACGATTAATGTTCCATATTTAATCTTCCTATTTAAGACTAGTAATGCTAGTTAAATCCTGGTTGTATATATTCACATTCTTAGTTCTGATATTTTTAGTACTTTTTTACTTTGTATTTAATATTATATTATGTTTAGATTTGCTAATATTGTGTTTTTTACTCATATTGTGTGTTGGATAACCTAATGAGGATACTATGTGAGCTTTCATTAAATGTATCAAATACATGCAGCTTTTCTAGAGGCTTTATACTCATTTCTTATATATGCAGTAGCCTCTTCTAAACTGTGAACACGATTTTATTGTAAAATTGCTATTCATCCATGTACCAAACCAAATTAATAATTTAGTGGAGTTAAATTTAAAATGTGGTCATGTGCATGTTTGTTAAAGAATTTTACCACACAACCATACCTTGCTGAAGCTAAAGCAAAAAAAAAAAAAATACAGGAGATGTAAAATAAGGATCTGATGATGTTCCCTTTTGACTTATCATTAAGAGTCTGAGAGGTCCTTATAAACTTATTATACATGTGTAAACTCAGATTTCTGTCACCCTTGAAATTAATTAACTTTTGTTGGGTTGACTCACCGCTCTGGCATGCTAAGAGGCAGATAATCCAATCAACTTCTGTTGTTCTGCGTGGGGAATTTATCTGCCATTACAAACTGTTCACAATGCTTTGCAACAGCAGTTACATTGTTGATCCGTGGTGATACTCATTAAGTCTCTTGCAGACCTACCACACTCCCATGGGCAGAGGCAGGAGAAAACAGCAGCACGTTGCAGATTTATGTTATTCAAATGTTTGATGGCATGAAATTCAAGATGCATAGAGGAAGAGAAATCACACAATACAATGGCAATCAAACAACAGGAAGAGGTCGACATCCTAATGAAGTTTAACTTGTTGTACCTCACGTTAACAGTTGGTGATTCTCCTCAGAGCCTCTTCAGTCCAATGACGTGTAATTTCACTGTTGCTGCCACAGACATTTGGAAATAGCTTTCCTCTGACACAGCCAAACAAAACATCTCTGTGGTTTTACAAAAGCTGCCAGCTGATTCTAAATTTGTACTCAATCAATTTTCCCACTGCTTACGAGAAAAGGAGTTAAATGTGATCTGTTGCTTCTGTGTCTACAGCTTGCAGTAATGAAACTTCCAAATCTCCCTTTTTTTGTCCTGCACAATAGAAAAGGATAAATAGAGACAGTACTCTGTCTCCAGAACACATTAGTGGATGGTAAATCCATTTTTCCGTAAAAATGTAAAGTAATACTTTAATTGGAAAGACTTGTATTCCAAAGAATTAAGAAAAAAATAACAACAGAACTTTACAATAAAAACCTGGACTCCATGAAATTAAGATTTATGAAGATGTTTCATGTATGGTTTCCTATTGTCTTACACTGAAGCAATGCACTATACCATTTTGGCCATTAGATTTTGATTATAAACAATTTGGTGTCTTTATTTTTATTAAGTGAGAATCCGAAAGATGATTACTTCTTTTTTTCACATACTGTATGTATCACATTCATTGTCACAAATACATGATGACATGATGTTGTTTTGTAGGTGTTCTTATACTGTACAAAGAAATTGGGCCTTTTAGTTTTATGCCTTTAATAGAGAGACAGGACAGTGCACTAGAGTCGGAAATTAGGGAGAGAGAGGGAATGAGGAATAACATCTGGCAAAGGTGCCACAGGTGGGATTCAAACCCAGGATGCACGATTTGAGGACTCTAGCCTCTGTACATTGGGCATGCAAACTGGGTGCATTATTTTGTTGGTGTTCTTAGCTTTTGTTAGATTTAGTTTTCTACTAAACCCATCCTGCACTATGGGGCATTCACTACTTTGTTATCATATTTATAGTTTGCTCAATATTTAATAACCATGCCGTGATCTGTATGTGTCTTTATCTGAATGTTCTCACATGTTGTTAATGCTGATACCTGAACATTAACAAGTATTTGCCTATAATTTCCTGTTTTAGACGACACATTTAAATATGTAGAATTAAACAGCACCTTGCAGGCTGTTTCAGCTTCAAGGGTGATTTCACATTCACCATAATTCACCATTCCTGCTTTTGCCGACAAGTGGTTCCCACCTTGTTTGAGTAATTAAAAAATGTCAATATGTTATCTCACAGTGTGTCAATATGCTGCATCATAGGTGGGAACAATCTCAGAGCTAACAAAAAAAAAATATCAAGCTGATTCTCAGACAAAGTACCTCAGCTGAACTGATATTTAAACCAAGTAGAGGCTGATTTTATCTGAAGTGTTTTGATGAAGTTGTACCCGTGGAGCCTGGCTTGTTCAACCTCCTGGAGTCCCAGACTGCATGTCAACATGAAGTCAGTCATTGCTGCAGCCCGTTGACACTTCCAAGCTTCATCTTGTAATCTCTGCTGGTTCTGAGTATCTGGCATCAGGCTGTAATTGGAATAGTTTAATCCTAGTGCTGCTAGGGGCCATCATAAAAAAGACTATCTACATCTAATTTGTGCATAAAAGCTGATTTCCTGGGAAGGTGTAATGTGAGAAGGTGGAAGTTTTATCTCCTTCCAGTAACTCCATGAAAAAATACCCTCCTAAGGCTTATGGTGAAATGACAGGTTACAGAAATAACAAGATTATAAAACTTTTTTATTGATCCCCTCTGAAGATGAATTTATAAAGCAAATTCCACACATATCTCAGGTTCACATATTTTTTTTTTACGCAAAGTTATGGCACCATTAAATTTCTATAATTTCACCAGAAAAAATATTCATGTGGCTGTGGCCATGGTTTTATTTATACATATGATGGGGAAGTCTGTGTTTTGAATAGACCCACTGCAAAAAATAATAATTACACTACATCAACATTCTCCAAAACAGAATTAGCCAGGCCAGTTTGATATTATTTGTTCAAGCCAGTGATTTAGGGTGCAAGATGAAATATACATTCCACTGACCTATTGTCTGACACCAATGTAAAACTCTAGCGGACAGAACAGTCAAGGAAGCACAGTTGGTTTCCCCTCTGGAAGCAACACAGTGGTAAACAACTGATGGATGATATTAATCCCAAGGGAAGAATCTGAGTATGACAAACAGATTTATGCATGGGTTAACACCACCGTGCCAGAGCCATCAATTCTGCATCTTTCCCAGTGCCTGGAGATGTTTCCGTACCCTTCGTCTCCCCGTGCCTGTCATAACATTTATCCCTGCTCCCTGCTAAGTGCTGTAACATTTACATTTTTAGTGCTGCTCTGTAATAAAAGAGGTGGAATAAGTGGAGGCCTTTTACCACTGCTAAAACAAACATCCATGAACTCACCTCTCTGAGTAGTCACCCCATCCCCCAAATTTCCCGATCAGTCCTTCCACCCACTTGCAGCTTGGCCGCTGTTCCACAGTGCAGGTCAACAGTGTTGCGGTTTGAGTTTCCTCAGTTTCACTCACAGTTCTTGCCCTCATTTGAAGGTTCACTCACAAGAGTCTTTTGGGTATTTTGTCCAGTCCAGATTCTCTGTGAATGCCATTGTTGCTTAATGAATGTAGAGGAGACAATTTGAAAGCAACTGAAGTCCCGGGCTAAGAACACAGGCTGTTGAAAAGGGAGTGGTGTTGGTGTCTATCATCTTAGTAAACTGACGTGCTAGTTTTGGATGGGGTCTAATTCTCCAATTATATTTTATAATTCACTCTGCTTTACTTAAGAAAACATGAACCTGGAGACAGCCATCAGGATATTTTCCTCAGTTCTTTTGTTTTGTTATTAGGATGAAACAAGTCCACTTTCTTTATCAAAGCTAGGTTTCATCAGTACCGACAAACATGAGGGTGAAAACGAGAAAAACTAATTTAGGCAGGGAAAAAAGACCATCACATAAGGAACTAAATAAATAAATAAATAAAGAGAGCTGTGCAGGATTTTATTACTAAACAAACCACTGATAAAAATAGCAAAGCATTTTTCAAACACAGCCCAGTCGGTATCTAAGGAAATTATCTACACGCTTGTGCTGCAATTTGTCTGATGCAACACTACATTACTGATCTCAGGTGAATGATCTTGAGAGGTATTACCAAGGCTGACCAGCCTTGATAAGATCTTCAGCCTGCCAACTACTGAAAAGGGTAATCAAGCCTGCTTTAAGACATGTGGTTATTGGGTTGTTTGAAATAGAACAATTCACAGCTTTACAAAGCCCTTTCCTTGGATAGCTGGTAGGGCACATCAATATATTGAGGCATTTGGAACGATGAGTTGATAATACTTCATACTGTGTTTGACCGGTGAGCAGGAAAGAGTACCAAAAATGTCAATTTCTAATCGTTTCATTTTTTAATTGATTGCTGTGGCTCTTGTCGGTGAAAGAGAAACTCTACCTCCGCTTATGCTAAGTTTGACCTTTCCACAGTGTATACATTCTTTGCTTACATGTCACAGGGAAAGAGCAAAAATAAAACGTACACAGGCCATTACTAAGATGGTGAAGAAACAGTCAGCTGTGCATTTACACCTGGGGCACCGGCTGCTGCTTCCTGCAGTGAACTGTTCCCACAAGGTTTCAGATCCAGTTAATCACAAACAGTTCTTCCAGTGCAGTGAACAGCAGGTGATTTGGAATGGGACACTAGAAGAAGAAGGCACAGAGGGGTGCTCCAGAAGTGTCCATGCGAAGGGAAATTGTGCATCTATACAGTTTACCAATAACACTGTGAACAGGATCTGGCACAGTACATCATGTGTAACAGTAGTCTATATCAGGGATTCCTCCTTCTCTATAGCCACGGTTGGTGCCATGTCCCGCATCAGAAACATGGTTGACACCCTTGTATGGGCCAGTGCCATTGGAGGGGAATATGGTATGAATGATGTAATCCTCCCTTAGGGGTTTAGGCTGCATTGGTTCGCAAGCTGCCATAGGAGTCATCTGGAAGCCCGGACCACGGATCTCCAAGATGGTATTGTCCTTCTTGGTGCCTGACTCAATGTAATCATCATAGTTCTTATTTTTTCGAGAGTTGTTCCGTGTGTAGTGGTCACGGGGGCACAAATGTCCAGTCCTATGTCCATACCAACAGAAGACGCAAAAAATAAGAGCCAAAGACACAATGGCTGAAGCCCCACCGATAATCCCTGCCAGGGGCAACGCTGTCATCTGCGGTGAGTTTTCATCCTCCTCATCCTCCAATGTGATGAGGTCTGAAGTTTCAGCTTTTGCACAAACCAGAGCCTCATCAGAGTCAGCATCACCAGAACTAACCTTGTTCCCTTCTGAGCTGGCAGGGAGGGGAACCATGCAGATGATGTAGCTGGAGCGAGGTTGAAGGGAGGTAAGTAGGTACTCTCGACGATCGCCACGTACCAGAGTCTCAGTGATTGATCCCATGGCATTACCAATGCCTAGTCGAAGCCAGCTAAGCCTAAACGAAGAGCTGGGCTGAGCCACACTCCAGGTAACACGGACGCTGTTGTGAGAAAGAGGCTTCACATTTAGGGCCAGACTCTTCCCCACACCGCTACTGCTGAGAGTGTAATCTAAGCCAGAGTCAGGAAGACCAAAACCAGGTCGCTTCGAGCGAAGGGTAAATAGAGAGCCCTGTGGAGGGGTTTGAGTGGTAACACTATCCATCCCAGCTCCACCCATTTTGTCTCTGGTTCCTGCAATCCTTACCACCTCACATTCCTCCATCTCACTGGAGAGGTCTATTAAGGCCATGTCTCGGACCCTGTCAGGCCCATGGCAGGTGAGACCTCTTACAGTGATGGAGTTACCCCGAGCATGCAGCCAGTCATACAGCCAGCGCAGATTGCATCCGCAGTGCCAGGGATTACCTCGCACCAGTAGCTGGCCCAGGCCATCTAGGTCTTTGAACAGTCCCCTTGGCAGTGTGGTGAGGTTGTTTCCTGACAGGTCCAGCCTCAGCAGCCTATGCATACCATCTAATGAACCACGTGGCATATGAGTCAGGGCATTTTCCTGTAGAGACAAGCGCTGCAGGTGGGCACTGGGCAGGTTGACAGGTGGGGTTTGTAGGGAGTTACGGACAAGGGACAATTCTGTCAAATTGGAAAGGCGGGAAAATGTGTCGTCTGCAATGCGCTGGTTTGCCAAAAGGTTCCCATCCAAGACTAGACATCTAAGTGAGGCGAGACCTCTGAAGGCATGGGTTGGGATCGTGGAGATTCGGTTGTCATCAAGACGGAGTTCTTCCAAAGAGGCCGGCAGTCCTGAGGGAATACTAGACAGGTGGTTGCGTGAAAGAAAAAGTAGCCGCAATCGTGGGTTGTCAGCAAAGGCTTGGTCCTCAATACTGACAGTTGAAATAGAGTTATCATCCAAGTGGAGTTTCTCCAGCAAGGGCATCCGAGCCAAAGTACTACGAGGAATGGTTCGTATGTTGTTATCTTGTAAATGCAGTTCACGGACAGATGGCGGCAGGTGCAAGGGGAATTCATCCAGTTCATTATCATAGAGGTAGACCACTCGGACAGCCAGGTGGTGCTCCAAGGAGGTGGGCAAACCCGGGTTGTTTATGTGGTTGTTTTGTAGATAGAGGACAGAAGCAGAAGGGGGCAGTGATGGGATGGAGCTCAGGCCCCGATCATTACAGTAGATAAAGTCTTCATCACACCTGCATACAGATGGGCATATCATGTCCCTGTCTCCAATGTACCCTTGTATGGTGGCTGCGGTAAACTGAAGCATGCCAGCACATAGTGTCAGGCAAAAAAACAGCAGGAAGAGTCGAGCCCGGAGTTTAACCACACCTACAGGTGCCATTATGGTTGACATTAGCACTGTCTGTCTTTTCCAGGTCTTTTGTCAATCCTCAAATTGTTTGGGTGAGCTGGAATCCTGTGACCTCCACCCTGAGGGAGAAAGAGAAAGAACAGTCAGCACTTAAGTAAAACATGAGTTTGTTAAAGATCACAAGCTGTAAACCAAACAAGGTGATTATTGTCATTTTTTTGTGTTCAGCTTCACACACTACATTCAGATTCTTAATGTCAAAACAATGTTAGAATTAGGTACTGGCTATAACAATAATATCTCAACAGAATCAAAACTGAGATGTTGCACTAAATAACAAGATTGTTTTGTTTCCCCAGTTAATAACCAGATCATACGGGAAATTTGCACACATGGATGGATTTGTGTGGATTCCTATCATCTAGCTTCTAGATAGCCTTCTGCTATTGATTGAAAGCCAAAAAGACACAAAGACAACTGTGCAGCCAACAAACATGTAAATAAGCAACAGTAATCATAGATTTAAAGATTACAGGCAGTTATGACTAGACTTTAGTGTTTCCTGTACTCAATGTTCAAAAAAAAAAAACTGTATGTTAATTCTCAGCAAAAGCAACTGTGAAATTGACTAATCTTATCCTACATTTAGAATAAAACCTTGTGAATAATTTTAAAGTCTAGAGCGTATTCTGCGCTTTTAAATTATTTAAGAAAGCTTGAGAGGCTCTATAACTCCATTAGGAGATGCCAGCAGAGGCTGCATTAGCCAGACAGAGCTGAAGATACTTTTCATTATCAAGAAAGAACAACATGTTTTATCACAGACTCACAATCGTCTTCAAGAGCAGTCAGGACGATACATCTTCATGAAAACTCCTACATAAATCATTTCTTCTTCATTTACTTGTATAATTGAAAAAGATAGAATCCACAGAAGAATACAGATTATGTGCCAACCAATTGACTATTATAAAAAATTGCACCGTTGGAGTCTGCATGAGATGTCCTAACAACTTGATTGGCATCACAACTTGTTGTTGATACTTATTAAACGTGGGATGTCATAATAGGAAGTGCATAATTGACTGGAGAGATCTGGAAACAGCAAATAGCATGGAGTGACAACTTGAGCACATCGCTGTCTTCAATAGCCTGAGCCATTAGTCAAACCGTTAAGGCCCACACAGCAGCAGACATAGTCGGGCTGTAGTATCGATTTTCTCACAAATCCGAGGTGATCTGCCAGAGCCAGTCAGCTCTCATGCAGATTACATGATTCCCAGGAGTGTAAGTTAGACAGCTACTAAACCACATAAATGGCAACTCTGGGAGTTGACTTGGCAGAAAATATATTCACAATGATTATGATGTGCTTATTCCAAAAAAGGCTTTGTTGACATGTCAGGCATTTTCAACTATGATGATTCACTCTTAAATAAAATACCACAAACTGTGGTATTTTAAAAAAACCTCCTCACCTTTGGCTGGTCACGGATAATTACATTTAAAAGTAATTCTTCATATGCCAACAGCCTAACACATCCACAGTTTGGTAGTCAGTCAGTTAGCCAGTTATCCCACTGCTTTCCTACACCAATAGGGCAGAGCGGCAAACCTCCCATTAAACATCAGTCTTTATTTGGCTTTTCATTTCAGATTTTACTTAAGTTATTTTAATGTAATGATGCTTTGAATTGAGCTTCAGAGTTTAAACCTTTCTGGTTGTATGCCTCTTCAGAAGAATGTGTCTGATGTGCAAACAGCTTTGGGAATCCTGTACCATAACATCCTTTCAACATTAGAAAGTGCAACACTAATAAAATGATGATGTCAAAAAAAATGCTGGCAGGTCTTTATGCAAGTTACATAAGCCAGCTCTCTTATCTTTCTGCTCACACAAACAGACCCTTGTGCCTGATGCAGCTACTTCCACTAAAAACAATGTTGGTGGACCACGCCACTCTCATAACAAAGCCTTAAAAAGAACATCTTCATAATTATACCGACAAGTATTGAAGACTGTGACAAGACAAAACAATATTTGTAAAAGCAAAATGGCATTCAACTTTGGGAAATGGATGTCTGACATCATCGCAGGCTGAATGTAATTTACATTTTGGCAGCAACAGAATGTGACGCTTGACGAAAACACAAAGAGAAAATGCAATATTTGAAAGCGATTAAGTGTGAAGGTGGGGGAAAAAAACATGTCTATGACAAACTTTCTTTTTAGTCAGTCCTCTTCAAAGTAGCATATTACATTTTTATGAGAGAGTTTTCATTTGCAGGATTTGAAGAATTTTGTGCTTCTTTCCACGACTTGTTATCCAGATATTGTTCATTTATGTCTTTATTTATAAGCCTTACAGGTCAGATTATTGCAGAAATCAATTAGTCATATTTGTTTGAATCATGCTGACAATCAGTTTTCAAACATATTTTACTATATGGATCAATTTGATATCAGAGGGGATGTGGGAACTGTCTGCTTTAATAAAAAAAAAAGTGAAATGCCACTATAAACAACACTCATCGCCATTATTTTCAAGCTGCACTTATATTTCCAGTCTGAAATTTAAAAAGTTGCCAACTTTTGTTGACTTTGTGCAGTTTGCTATCAGTTTAAGATTGAGACAGCTACACTTTACAGGAAATGTTCACAAGGTTTAAGTCTGTGTGTGTCTGTGCGTGCCTGCGTCGTGCGTTCTTGCATGTGTGCTGGTGTGTGTGTGTGTGTGTGTGTGTGAGGTAGAGTAGTGCTAAAGAATGGATGACTTTTGAATCCCAGGAGCTTGAGCAGCGAGTCTCTCAAACACTGGAGTATTTGGGTCAGCTCTTTAAAAACAAGATAGATGTGGTGTGAGATTGAAGTGGTGCAGGGAGCCAGAGGGATTAATGGAGCATACTGAGCCACGATTCTTCGGATTAGGCAGGTTCTTAAAGAATGGCAGACAGGCATTTCAGGGGTTTTTTGCTCATTTTTCTTCCTCTATTAGAAAATGTAAAAGCATAAAAAATACATGACTTCTCTTTGTGTGTGTGGATGTGTCCACTACAGAGGCCCTGTATGTTTGTCTATCCATGCACGATGACCACTTCACAAACATTAACCCATATGGGGACAATCTATAAGGCTGCAGTCTACATTTCAGCTATCAGTAGGGGGAGTGGGGCAGAGATGTGGGGTAATGTGTTAGCTAGACAGCCAGCCGCCTCAGGCAGAGTACAGTGCACACAGCAACCCCCAATCTAATACTGGAACCCAAGACTAGATCGATTTACATAAAAAACAAAGAAAGAGAGTGACAGAAAGCAGCTTTGAGCAAGACCTCTGAATCCCATCTCCCTATTAAGACGGCCACAGAGGGACAGGACTTGGAAATCTGAAAAAACTGACCGAAGGGGCTGCTGCAGTATCAGGAAATCCACTTTGTTGATGGAAAAGAACAGATAATAGTGGCCCACAGCTTATCTTACATGTCCATGGATAGTATTTTAGATTTCACTGATTGGACATGTGCAAAGGGGAGAGGATGACGCAAAACATGATGGATATAGTGATGACAGAAATGAATCGCGGAAAGATGAGATGGATTTAAAAAAAAAAAAAAACAGACAAGAACAGCCAGAAAAGCGTGGTCTATTCATTTTGTGATAATCATAGAGGCTGTTTGGTTTGGTTTGTGCGAAGTGGAATATATTTTTTTGTAATACTCTTAAGAGATCTTGTCTTTGCTTTATAAACTATAATCTTCATGCTTTTAAAACACAGATATAAAAAATGGACTTTAATCCCCCATAAGAAACAAACGAGGCACAAACGATCTACTACAAAACATGAAATATTTTAATCCCAGCAATTTGCTCCTTCCACGAAAGCACGCTTATGGTCATAATTGTTACGATTATGTAAAATAAACAGCGACTGTCATCATCACAAATGATGTTCAAGTATTTTGAATGAAGCCGTATTTATCGCCTTGCATGTTTTTACACTAAATGAGTCACTGCTTTTGTGGCTTATAATAAATCATAATTATAAATCATTGGATGAGGCCATGCATTACAAGCCCTTTAACTCTCTTATCATTTGCTTGTCTCTGAAACTGGCCATGTAAATATGCTACAAGATGAATAACATGTAAAAGACTTGATAAGTAATGAATTTAGATCTCTGCACAGAGTCGTTGTTGTTTCTCGGTTTATGCACCTTCTTTTTTTATTCTTGCCGGGATGAAGGAGTGATTGGATTTGCACTCAGCAGTTTCATCTGAGCTGCTGCTGACACAAAAACCCAGGGAATGTGACATATAAATAGAAGATTTGTGTTTCCAGATGAAAATTGTTTTCTTATTTTTGTCAGATAGTCTATAAATCCACTTCAATAAAAAAAAGAGCTGTATTTTCTGTTGTATTAAAATAGACGAAGACAAAAACACGACAAGAGCATTAATTCCTCAATTGCACGTACAACTAAAGACCAAAGATCCAAATCTTTTGGAATAAATTAGAGTCTTCACATCTGTCCCGATCTGGATTTAATCCAAACTAGGCCAAAAATGTCAAAATACATATAACTGTGAGTTTACAACAATGGACCTCTAGAGATTCTGCCCTTTTTAACCTAAATGTCATCTGAGTGCAGAAGAATAACAACTAATAAAGAGCACAATACCACAAATTAATAGGCAGAGTAATAAACATTCAAGCCATGCATCTTGCTGTGATGAGCTTTGTAAATATGCTGGGACAAAGCAATAGAGATAGAAGAGCAGCTTTCAAGTGCCTCACATAATTCTTGGGGTGCACCTTCATCTCATACTGGTATACTGGTGGTTATACAGCTCACACGGCCCTGAAAGGACTTGATGTATAGCTCTACAGCACTATAACATGTTTTATCTTTATAGCACTATTATATGTTCTGTCGGGCTACCGGCCCATACCTGATCCTCTCCACTGCAGCTGCTACTGCCCCTCAATTCTTTCCGCTCAGTGTTTCTTCCTCCAGTCAGCAGGATTACAGGTAAATCCTTTCAGTGTTAACAAAAGGGCCGCGGCTCCTTGCAGCAATATGCTCCTGCATTGTGTACAGAGGTAAGAACAAGGCTTACATGAT